AGAGAAAGGAGACCACAACCCACACCCAACTCAAAGTGAACGCAAAGACGACACTCACCGACGTGCCAGGTTTTGCTCGTGACAACCGGTGCAGACTGCCAAATAGGAATTCAACAATGGACTGCGAGTGTGAAGAACCCTCCTCATTCAGCACCCGTCGCTGCCACCACATTGCCACGGTGCCGGCGTCAGCATTGTTGACAGCAACTGTCAAGTTGAGCATCACTGCGACAGCTGCCAACGCGACCTCCTCGTTGGGCACAGAACGGTTGCAAAGGTGTAACAGACGCAAGAGCACATGGGGAAGATACTCCGCATTCTCTTCACATCCTCTGCGGCCGTCACCACACTGTGATGCTACTGGTGGTGGTGTGGTTGAAGTTGGAGTGGTGAGTAGCCAGAGGCAAACCTCGCGAGAGAAACGGGTAGCAGTTTCTGCAGTTGGCATGGAGAGGAGGAGGAGTGTGAGGTGGATGTTAGTGAGGCGTGGGCTTTTTACGGTATGGTGGGGATAGAAGTGGACGAAAAGTACGCACTAACCGTGTTTTCCTTTGTGAGTTTGAGATTAATCGAAAGTGCACAATTCTTGTTCCTACTTAAGGAGCCGGCAAGTCAGCGCTTACTCTCTCTCTACTCTGTCAGCAAGTCATGCGCTCGTTCATCAAAATGTCTACTGGAAAGGGTACATCATTTCCAATCGTCTGACTTTAAGGATATAGCATTCCCACCAGCCATTGGTCCACACTTTAATCACACCTACACTACATCTTACAAGCTTAAAACAACCTTTCAACTAAACCAAGCTCAATAAAACACACAGATGTAAAAGGCATTACTGAATTTCGCGTCAAAATGAGAGCATAGATGCGAATGGGTGGGGAAAAGGAGAATGCAGGTGACAGTTGGGCTTTGCCCTTAGGCCACTTTGGAATAGGTTCGTGTGGAAACAAGTTCATCCACTTTTACAATCTAAAATTAAAAAAAAATGAATTTTAAATCGCGTTGTAAGAAAGGAGAATGTAATATGGTACTAAAATGCTCCTACCATTTTCATCGTATTGCCGTCAACCTCTCGATCAATGTAGACAGTCCTGTCCGGACCAACCTGCTCCTGTTTCAGCACATTATGATCCAGTGTGATTAATGATGTGACCTCACGCGAGTCCGGAGTCACCTCCTTAAACTTCTCACCCAGTTTAAAGGTTGTATCAATGATTTTGACCGAACTCTCCAATCGCATATTATATTTGCCACCACCCATATCACTGATTATAAAGTTGGGCTTAATCGTATTGCCCATCTTGCGAAGCTCAGGATTAACTTTAAGGCGCTCCATGATTTTGTCAAAATCCTCACTGCTCTCATTCTTCCAGGTACCGATGAATGCCTCCATTACTGTCAACTAGCCGATACAAAGTGTGCCTGGCGTCGTAGCATTCACCAAATCCTTACCCTTATGTACCATCCACTGACATGTGCATCTGGTGCGTTGAGACCACTGATTGGTGAAGTCGGACCAATCACAGTTGAGCATCGTTGACATTCTCTCCAATTCCGGTGCAAGAGTGGTTGCCTTAACGCACAATGACGTCTTCGCAAGTGCGTATTCAGCATCGCTGCATGGAGTCGTGGATGTATTGGTGGGGAGACAAGTGCAACCTTTGTTTGCACTTCATCGAGGTGGGATGAGTTGTTCGTTTGAATGAGTGGAGTAGCGGCGGAGGTGATGGTAGTGCAGATTGTATG